TCTTCCTGGGTTATAACCTTTTTAGAAACCTACAGGTTATAACCCCTGGAAACCTTTTGCCAAACATGTTCATTCAGGTTATGAACTTTTTGAAACCTCTCGGACTGGACTATAACCTTTCGAAACCGTTTCTATTTATGTATAAAGTTATCTCTAAACTGCGATAATTACCTTCCACCTTATAAATTTATTAATAACGTTCAGTTGGTCTGGGTCTTTCCACCCGTATTATTTGAAATGATTGGAAATCATGGTGATTTTCTGTGACGCGCTTAATTTTTTTAGAACAAACCGAATTTTTAACCTCCCGTAAGTGTTTTAAAGGGAAGGTGGTGGGCGTTTTCCATCAAGTAAGCAGGTTATATCCTCCTTTGAGTATATTTTTTTACGTCCTTCGAAAAATATAGTATCCCGTGAGGGTTTTAAAGGGAAGGTTATTAGCATTTTACTTCAAGTAAGCAGGATATAACCTCCTTTGAATATTGTAAACGTTAGGTTTTTGTACGTCCTTCGAACAATATTTAATCTCCCGTGAGTGTTGTAAAGGGGAGGATACAGTCGTTTTATCCCAGTCACGAGGGTTATAACCTCCTTCGAGTATTGTAAATTGGCATCGAACCACTTGAAACGAATTTTGAGATTTCAAGCTGGTTTTATTTTATTTTATTTTTTTTTGACCGAAGCGGACTTTCGGCACTATAAATCGTCGATGTCAGTTGGGCAACCTCCGGTGTGTTGGCCAAGAGCCGAAGAAGGAAAAGGACACGGACCGTTTAACGTGTCGGGGCTAGCCGTGAATAATTGGCCTTAACGATTGTGGTTAATTGGCTGTTTGTTGCGGGGGGAAGAGCTTAATTGTTTTCAAAAATTGCACGTAGAAAAGAGAAGAAAGAGAAAATATGAAAAAGTTAAAAGAAATTGATTATTAATAAAAAAAATAAAAAAAATCAAGAACAACCGATGCTTAATGTTTCACGCATGCGTTTCTCGAGCAAAAATCGTAAATCCACCCCCCCCCAAAAAAAAATCCAAAATTTATTTTCTAAATTATTACAAGGAATTTTGCAATACTTAGAATTTTTATAAACCCGATTCCAAAAATATACGTATAAATACTTTTTTTAAATTAAGAAATCTTCGCTTGTGTACATGCTTTCAAAATTTGGAACATGTCGACAACCCCTCTCCCGGACTTTACTAAACCAATGAAAATTCATCGGCTGGCTCCGAAAAAAAAAAAAAAAAAAAACAGACAAAATAGCACCTTTTCATTTTTTTTTGTAAAATATTGTCATCGATTTTAACGAGAGGGGTGCTACTGATTCATAACCTGACGGGTAGGAGTGCGTAAAGAGCGAATAACCCTGCCTAAGAGGTTACAACACGGTTTTCTTTCGACAACAAAAATGTATCGTAAATATTTTTAAACTAATATCTTACTCGGAATTTATAAAAACAAGGTTAAAATAAAAGAGAAACCGAGTTGTAACCTCTGTCTGGATATTAGTTAACAGTATAATAAGAAAGTGGCTGTGAACGTTAATGTTATTGATATTATCGGTACATATGTAAGTATTTTGAGGTTATAACAATGGCTGCTATAGACCATTTTAAGGTGGAGGCTATGCCCACTAATCTTCACAATATTGAAGGTTAAATCAATGTCGGATATAACCATTTTGAGGTTATAACAATGGCGGCTATGGCATAGCGGTTACAACCATATCGAGGTTATAACCACCCCGTTATTATCGATTGTAGGTTGTTACTGATCAAACTTTGTTTTTAAGTTCACTTAAGAAATCTCCCTCCCGTTGAAATTCGCTTTTGCACCCGTCGATGGATAATGACCGAAAAGAATGAGCGTTGCATGTCTCCTCCGCTTTTCAGTTACATCAACAGGTATCCCATTTTCGGATTCTACGTATATCCAGCTTTCACCGATTGCCCAACGTTAGATTCGGAGATTATTCGGTATATTTTATCCTATGGATTGAAGAGGGGGGGGAGTTTATTATTTAATAAAAGTTAGTAAAAGCTAAAAATAAAAAAAAAGCCCCCCCCCCCAAAAAAAACCTTTTAAGACTTTCCCAATTCTTTCATCGAGTGTGTTCATCTGGAATTATTTGACCTCGTATGAACGGTTTTGGGTTGGTGGCCAGACCAATTTTGGACGTTTATTTATTTATTTTTTTAAAGGGTTTAAAAAAATATTCATTTTTGTCACGTTTCCGAAGGGATAGTTCGATTGTCCAAAAGAGAAAAATTGCGTTTTACATTTTTGGACTGAATGTAAATTTTGTGGATGGTCTAAGCCCACATTTAAAGATCATTTCAAAAACTTTAGAAATAAACCGAAAATATTGTTAGTCCTAACCAGCAGAATTTATAGAAATTAAATATGAACACATTACAAAAAATAGGAGAAGGTGTGACTTTGGACTAAGGTCGGCAACCAATGACTAACAGCCCTGAAATTACGATAGGCGTAAAAAATATCGTAATTTTTCGGTTAGCGAAAAATATTTAAATATGAGGACATTTTTTGGATTGGTCGAAAAGGTACGGCCAACCACCAATAATTTTTTTGTACGATGGAAATTTTTTTCGGAGTTCCATCTCACATGAACCGCGAGTCAATGATAAGTGTCAAGTCACGTTTTTCCATTTACTATCCAAAAATTATTAGTAGTAGAGTAGACAACAACCTCAACAATAAAGTTGGCTAATAACAAAACAATTTTTGGCTGGTCCACAAATTTTAGCCAGGAGGAAATTTTTAAGTCGGCTATATTTTAGAAAAACCTTTTTATTTAACAATAATCAACAACAGTAATTCCAGAAAAAGGGAACAGATTAGATATCCAAAACTTGTAATTTTTGATAGACGAACGACACTTTTTGGATTGTCAAAATTTTGGAAATAATCTTTCGAGAAATGGTTCCACATATAGCCTCATAATTCTAGGAACTGGGAACATACTCAACAAGCGTTTTTTTTTGGATAGCCAAAAAATTGTAATTTTTGAATGTTCGAAATTTGGAATTATCTTTCAAGAAAACTTTTAACATATAGCCTAATAATTCAGGAAAATGAGAACAGAGTAAATAACTTATTTTTTTCGGTTTTTGGTTTTACAAAAAAATCAAAAATTTCGGCTCGTCGGGATTTTTTGGATGATGGTTCAAATATTTGGAAACATCTTTTCAGAAATCTTTCGACATGTAGTCCAAGCCTAATGAATACTTGAAGAAAATGTGAGGACTATAAGTAAGCGATTTTTTCGGTTTTTGGATATCCAAAAAATTGTAAATTTTAGATCGACGGACGACAATTTTTTTTGTCCAAAGATGGTCCAAATGTTAGGGAAAAATCATCCCAAAACACTTTCGACGTACAATGGTCTAATAATTTAAAGACATGACGTTCAACAAACTAAATTACATATTGTTTGGTATTGGGATGTCCACACTTTATAAAATAAATTTTAGCTCGACGGACGACAATTTTTGGACGGTACAAATTTATTTTTGGAAAAATATATCCAGCAAACTTTCGACGTACTGCTTATAAATGATCGAACGAAATGAAACAGATTAATAAGGGATTTTTTGGTTTTTGGATATCCGAAAAAATTGAACCCTGAAAATTCATTACGAACTATACAATTACCTTCCCCTTCCGTCAAAACAAAATGACATCAAAAGTGGCAGTAGTGGAATAAATATCCACAAGTTTTTTTTGGATAACATGAAAATTTTGGATGATCTATAATATGATAGTTGGAAACTTGCCGTATGAAAAATAGTACAAAAAAATTGGTCCTTGGATGTCCAAAATGTTTTAGACAAAGGGATAAAACAACACCATCTCTAGCTCTAGCTTTAACCCTGAAAATCGATGACTGATTTGACTAAAACTCCCCCAAAAAATGTACTAATAATTTTTTTATTGATTGTCCAACATTTTTTGGATAGCATCTTATGGAATTTCGGATGAGGTTTGATAGCCTATTTCGTAACTAGATATTATAGGGTATAATAAACAAAAACTTAGTAATTTGTGACAAGGTTATCCAAAAACATTGTGTAAGGAATGAGAATCAGTCTCAGAAGAAATAATAATCCAAAAATTACGACGTATAAAACAAAACATTGTAATTTTTGGATTGATTGTCCAAAACCTTTTTGAAAGATACAATTTTTTGATAGCTTATTAGGTAACTTGATGATTGAACCAAATATTCAAGGATACAATTGAACCATTGAATACAAATTTTTGGCTAGGATATATAAAGTTGGATAACAGGAATGAGAAACTCTTGAGTTTAGCAAACTATTGGAGGAAGATTTTCAATTGATTGCCCAAAATGCTTTTTATGGATAAAATGATATTCTGGATTGTCTGGACGTAGACACTAAACTAATACGCAAATGTTCATCAGACCAAAAGTTTTGGACAGCTAACGCCCAAAACCAACCTGCGAACCTTATCGATTCAAACAAAACCCAATTAAAGTAGCCATTTTTCTAATGGTATTAAAAAAATCGAAATCACTTTCAAACAAAAAAATTTTGCAGGATATTGATTTTTTTGGATAATCGGAATGAGAAACCCAATCGAAAAAGGATGATGTATAAAACAAAAAATTGGAGTTTTTGGATCGATCGTCCAAATTTTCGTTTTGGATAAAATGAAATTTTGGTCGGTCACTTAGAAAAGACAATTTTGAAACCTGGACACGAACGGGCTGAAACATTCTACCGACCATTAAAATTCCAAAAAAAAATTCCAAAAATTTTTGGACTACCTCCATTACCACCCTGCGGACGTACGGACTCGAACAAAAATCACAAAAAAATTTGTCCTGGATAATTGGAACAATTTTTAAACGATGTAATTTTTTGGCTCTATTGTGTGACAATTTTTGAACTATTGGACATTTTGGATAGCCCATGGGTAATTGATATTTTTTCTTGAGATATTTTTCCGTACTTACTGCATGTCCTTTGAATCGTGTCTATCCTTTTTGCGGATACGTGTAACGCACGGCTGGCGGAAGCCAACTGGAGTGGCCAGAGGACGTGCTCGTGGCCGCGAAACGTGGTGGGGAATAAAGAAGAAAGGAAAGGAAACAAATACAAGGCAGAAAACAAATCAACAAGGCGGGGCCACGAAAGGAAAAACCTGTTCTAAATGTCGCAACTCGTTGCGTGACCACGGCTAAGGGGCTCTGGGCTGATGCGACTCGCGCCCTCTTATATCCCAGAGGCTTGGTGCGCACACCGTAAATCGTCCGTTTACATAGCGTGGTCAAAAGGACAAATCACAATTTAAAACAAACAACCACGATATTCGCGGATTCTTAAGAAATGATTTGTCACGATATATATATATCTGTAAAACAGCCTTGGTCTCCGGTAACCTGATCAGGGTTAACATTTGTAACCTTCCACACAATTGAATTTCTATGATTCACTAAATCGTCTGATTGGCCATTTTTACCCCTCCATTCTTGGTCACGATTGATTTTTGTAAGCTTTCACATAATTGGACTCGTATGATTCAGTAATGGGAAACCGTCTGATCGGCCGCCATCATTACTCCGCCATTACGGGAAAATTGGTAATAATTGAACCATAACGTAACCTTCTTCTTGGTCGCGATTGGTGTTAGTAACCTTCCATACAAAATTTGACTGTTGAGTCATTTTACATATAGGGGACCATACGACCACAAATTATAAAAAAAGATATACACCATTAAAACGAAGACCCTGCCCAATAACCTGATTTGGTGGGGAAAAATCGTCTTGGTTACCTTTTGTAATCTTTCGCAACCTTTCGCACTATTTTCCCCCTCTCAATCTGGATTTCTATGTAGTGATACACACGATATATATCGGTAAAACAGCCTTGGGCTCGGATAACCTGATCAGGGGTATCTTTTGTAACCTCCACACAATTGGAATCTATAGATGCAAGGTGGCACATAATTCTAACAAGTAGCCAAACAAGCATTTCCGATGGACTTTCAATAAAAATTCATTAATAACGATAAAACCATAACATAACCTTCTTTATCTTGTCTAGTTGTTACTTTTTACTTTGCAACCTTTCACCCAATTCGAATCTATTGGACTCTATTGGATTTGCATATCCTTAGCTAGGTAACCATAATGTAACCTTTATAATCTTGACTAAGTATTGAGTTCCGGTATTACCGTAACGTGAAGTTCTTAGTCAGGATTAGTATATACAACTGAATTTTTTTAATAAATCTTAATAGCAAAATAACCATGGCTTAACCTTCATAATCTTGACTAGTTGTTGGATTTTACTTTGTAACTTTTCTCACAGCTGAAATTTTCATACTCATAGCGAAGTAACCATAACGTTACCTTTTTAATCTTGAATGGGTCTCTCACGACTAGGTTTTCCATTTATTAACGATTAATAACGTGTAACTTTCTACACAAAGATTAATTTAGTAAGTATGTAACCATAAAGTTACCTTCTTGGGCGAATATTGGTAGCCGGAAATCTTTTGTATACTCCGTATGAATGGATTTCGATTAGGGGATTATTTCTTTTCTTCCGCATAGGTCTCGTAAGTTCGTCAAAGGAGGTGTAACAAAATTTAACCTCAAAATTCTAATGTGAAAAAAAGGGCGGGAAAACCACGGATTGGCCCACAGAATCTTTTCCGACATAACTTCAGATTTTCGTGAAACCAGCAGTCCCGTTTTTCCGACAAGTGGCTCTATTTTCGAAATAACCTCAACCCGAGTAAGATATCCTTGTAGGTGTGATTGATACGGGACCTTTTCGCCCGGTTGAAGGACGGCATGACCTGCAAGAAAGGCGGATATAAGCAGACGGTCGAGTTTTAAAAAGCCTCTCCTTTATCCGTGCTTCTTTTATTTTTTTTTTATGATGATGCTCATCGCTAGGCTACATTGTCAAGAAACTTAGCCATCGGTAGATGAGGCGCTTAATTGCACCTAACAAGGTCGCGAGATAAAAAAAAAGGATCATAAAACAAGAAATAAGCATAAAATCCTGTTGAGGAGTCGGGACTTGGATAGAAACTGGTTTTCTTTCTTGATTCACTCTTGATATTTTAAGCTGAAATTTAGCCCGTGAAATAAATGCTTAATCTATGACTAGCCCGTCAACCCAGGGGGACATCTTTAAAAGTAATTATAAAAAAAGCCCGTCAAGTCCAAGATGCTTACTCTTGTAAAGAAGTCAAAGTTAGACAAACTGTGGAAATCAAGCTTGATTTTTTAATTTTATTGGTACTTAATATATGTGATAGAGTTCCTCATTTTGAATACTTTCGAATAAAGTCCTTGGAGCTTAAGGAAGCCCGATAAGTTCCACAAATTGGATCCAAAATGCTTACTTTTGTAAGGAAGTTACACTTAGACAAATCTATGGAAATCAAGCTTGATTTTATAACTTTATTGATACTTAATTTTTTTTAGAAAGGTTTCTAATTATGAATACTTGTCATATACTGTGCTTGGAGCTTAAAAAAGCCCGTCAAGTCCAACGAAGTTCAAAAATGCTTTCTTATATAAGAAAGTCACACTTAGACAAAACTATGGAAATCAAGCTTGATTTTATTACTTTATTGGTACTTAAATTTTTTTGGAAAAGTTCCTAATTATGAATACTAGTCGAATAAAACCCTTGGAGCTTATGAAGGCCCGTCAAGTCACATAAAATTGGACCAAAATGCTTACTTTTACAAGGAAGTCAAACCTACAAAACAATATGGAAATTATGCTTGATTTTTTTATTTTATTGGTACTTAATATATGTGATAGAGTTCCTCATTATGAATCCTTGTCGAATAAAGTCCTTGGCGCTTAAAAAAGCCCGTCGAGTCCCATGAAGTAGGACCAAAATGCTTACTTTTTCCAGGAAGTCAAACTTAGACAAAACTATGGAAATTAAATTTGATTTTATTAGTTTTTGGTATTTAATTTTTTTTGAAAAATTTCCTAATTGTGAATACTTGTCAAATAAAGTCCTTGGACCTTAAAAAAGGCCGTCAATTCACGTCAACTTGCTTACTTTTCATGGAAGACAAACGTTGACAAAACAATGGAGAATAAGCTTGATTTTGTTATTTTATTAGTACTTTAAAAAGTCCCTAATGATGAACATTTGTCTAATAAAGCCCTTGGTGCATAAAAAAGCCCGTTCAAGTATCATATAGTTTGACTCAAATGCTTACTTTTGTATGCAAGACGAACTTAGACAAAACTAAAGAAATTAAACTTGATTTTATTATCTTATTAGTACTTAAAATATTTGAAAAAGCTCCTAATTACGAATACTTGTCCAATAAAGTCCGTGGTGCTTAAAAAGGCCCATCAAAGTTGGACCGAAATGCTTACTTTTATAAGGAAGTCAAACTTCGATAAAATTTATTATTATTGGAACTGAAAATAGGTGTGATAGTGCCTCGAAGTTTCCTTTCTGAATAAGGTCCTTGGTGCTTAAAAAAAGTCCTGCCAGTCGTCCTTCAGTGGTGCTTAGGCCAGCTTCCATTTCCTTCCCGCCCCCTTTTGTGAACTTAAAGATTATCTTTTCCTCTCTAGAAGAAAAGACCGTCTTTGAAACTAACTCGTACTCATGTTAAGCCCCTCCAGGCAGTCGCGAGTCTCCATCTGCCGGCCGCACCTCCAACCAGCAACCACGATCCAGTGGACAATTCAAGATTTTTCTGTTTCTTTGCAGAAATTATTTAATTAATTAAAAACGTTCCGAATTATAGAAGACTGACAATGCCTAGGGTTGAAAATTTTATTAATTAATTGGATAATTTATTGACGATCAGAGCACAATTTGGTTAAATCTCTTTGAAGGAGGTAAAAATGTCCGTTATATCCGATTTACTGTGGAAGCGGCAAGGCAGCACCTGGTATTTTTTCTCCCAGAAAGGGCCAAAATTGGTCAGCAGTAGTTGAAAATGGCGAATAAAAACTTTTGGTGCACTTGGCGTCTCCTGAACTAACTGGTCTAAGAGTGTCGATTATGAGAAGCCAATCGTACTCCTAGTCCAGCACAGTAGCAGTTTTTGGCTGTTCCGTTGTGAAACATATCCAAGACGGGAAGGCGCATCGTGATGTTTTCCCATGTGTTTCGAACCTTTGGGTCCGAACAGTTTCGCTCCTACTCGCCACACCCCGTATGTGGCCGTGTATTGTTAATAAACAGCAAAATTAAATATGCCTGTATTTTTTTTTAAATTTTAGACTATCAAGGAGACTGGATTTTATCGGGTCCGCCTTATTCTTATTTCATTTAAACCCCTTGGCATTGCTTGGTTCGAGGTGGATGGCATTGCTTCGAGGAGGATGTCCGCCCTGCCTAGCGATTTTTATTTAATGACCCATATTCTAGTATTTTCTTTGAAAATTAGTTGAAGTTTAAAATGTTGTTCACGGAGAAAGATGGTGGATAAGACTCTTGGGTCCGTCTTGCTTCGCTTAATCCAATGGTCATATCCATCATGGTAACATAAAATTCAGACACGTAACGGCTTTTGGCTGTTTTCTTTGTATTGGCCATGTCATGAGAAAGCATCAAGGGACATTTCTCGATTTATTTTGATTGTTAGTAAGTCCTCGTTAAGTTGTTAGTAGGTCCTCTTTTTCAAACTTATGGCCCGCCATATTCTTGTCTTACATAATTAGTGAAGTTTAAATTGTTGATCCTGGAGAATGATGACGAATAAAACTTTTGGGACCGTCTTGCTTTGCTGAATATATTCTTGTCTTATTCCTCAAGGTGATATAACATCCAGACCGGTACATTGGGTTTTTTTTAGCTGTGTTTCACGCCGTATGCCTTGTTGTGAGAAGATATCTAGTGACATTTTCCTGTAATAAGTTTTTTACTGTTGGCATCGTTTTGGTCCGCCCTGCCTCGCTATTTTTACAACTAAGGAATATGCCCCATGTTCTAGTATTTTATTTGAAAATTAGTTGAGTTTAAAATACTGGGCATGGAGAAAAGATGGTGGATAAGACGTTAGGTTACGTGCTTAATCCAAGGGTCATACACGTCATCGATCAATGTAATATTAAATCCAGGACCGACTATTCCGATAGATTTTAATTGTTAGTAACTTTTGGGTCCGCCTTGCATCGCTGTTTTTTAATCTTATAGCGCCATATTTTCGTTTTTACCTAGTTAGTTGAAGTTTAAAAGGTTGATCCTGGAGATCGATTATTAGATCAGAATTTTGCGGCCGTTTTGCTTTGCTGAATTCAATGGTTGTCTTCATCAA